TCCATAGAAGATGGAATACGATTCCATAATTATTTTCGAATGTCCGCAACACAATTGGAGGAATTGTTGTCGATTGTTGGTCCACTATTGGTAAAAAAACATGTTATTCAAGAGCCTATACAACCGAAAGAACGTTTAGTAATAACATTGAGGTAAACATTTAAATTATACTGCAAATTTTATACATGAAACTTGTTCCCTGCTATGGTATTGTTTAAATATTATTTATCTTTATATCCTTAAAATGTTCTAGGTATGTTGCTTCTGGCGATTTAATGACGTCAATGTCATACCAGTATCTCATTGGGGTAACAACAGTTTCTAATATCATCCGAGAGACATGCAAAGCAATTTGGAACAGATTGTGTCCATTGGTTTTACCGCCAGCATTGTCGGAAAGAGACTGGCTTGACATTGCAAGTGATTTTGAAGAGTTGACCAATTTTATTCACTGCATTGGTGCCATCGATGGAAAACATGTAACGATTCAAGTATGTATTCAGTAGTATTAATAGCCTGAAACTGGTTCTACATAATAGTTGCATCGCAGCATCGCAAATGTTGCAATGCAACTAATGTAGAACCAGCTTAACACACCGTACCGTACCAATTATCGGTGAACTAATGAATGCATGAATGCTAATTTTGTTCCAGTGTCCCAACAATGCTGGTTCCACGTACTACAACTATAAGAATGCTCATAGTGTAGTATTGATGGCCATTTGTGATGCACGCTACATATTCCGTTTCGTTGACATCGGAGCATATGGACGACGAAGCGATGGAGGTATTTACGGCGGCAGTGTTATGGGCAAGAACTTTAATGCAAATCGCATGAATGTACCGAAGCCAGCAGCTGTTGCAGGAGGACGAATTCTGCCATATTGTCTTGTAGGAGACGAAGCGTTTCCTTTAAAACCATATTTGCTTCGCCCTTATCCAGGCAAGAATGGGTTGTCACAGGAACAGGATATTTTCAATTATCGATTAACCCGTGCGAGAAGGATGATCGAAAGTACTTTCGGAATTCTCGCTAGCCAGTGGCGAATATATCGCAAACCAATTATTGCATTCCCACAGAATGCTAAATTGATGGTGCAAGCGACGGTTTGTCTGCACAA